CCTCTGGGCCTGATGTAGTCATGTCAGAGTCAGAAGTGTCGTTAGAAGTTGAGTTGTCATGGTTTCCTTTGCTGCCGTCCACGAGCTTGCCACTTGTCCCTGCTTCCGCAGGTTGTTGACCGTTGTCGAGATGACCGGCTGCCGTTGTGTTCGCTCTGGTGTCGTTTTCCGCAATCACAATTGGGGGCGTAGCCATGGCGACGGCAGCCCGAAATTGCGACGCCGGTGAGAACATGAGTATGGGAAGCCAGAGGATACCCTCCGTCCTCTCAGGGGCTGAACGTGGGAGCAGTCGCTGTTCCGTTGGTCGTCTTGTGGTGTCGGCGAGGGATGTCTACTTCCCAGGCTTGTGTTTGCGAGCAGTTGATCTGGCGCACAACGACGGTCAGGGAGCCACCCGAAAAAGTATCAAGAGGGCGGCGGTGCGAAGTCGGGATGTCGTGAAAGGCGATCTCGATGCGAACTATAGCTGTCGACGCGAGGAACTCCGTCGGTGGTTGAATCGTAACTCTCGACTCAGACTCGACAAGGTCGCGGGCGGCCTCTTATCTACGGTGAGTCACTATCTCGAAGATTCGGCGGAGAAGGTTCGAGCGTAGCGCGCTCGGGGCGAGAATGAACACGCACTTTCTGGAACAACAAAATCAGGGATGAACGATAGAAGTTACGTCCGGAACAAGAATAAACGAGAACTTTCTAGAGGTTCGTGATTGAGCCTTGCTTTCTCAGCCCCTGCGCGCGGCAATATTCCTGGCGGTTTAACCCCCTCCTTCGTTTCCCTCTCTGCTACTCTGAGTACATGTATATTTGCGTAGAAGGGCCATCCGGGTCAAGAAGCTTTGAAAGTATGAAGTCTTGCGAGAGTGATACCATTCTGCTATGTTTCATTTTTCGGTTAGTATCGGCAAGGACGTTGTGCGCGTAGCTGACACCATAAAGAACTTAGAAACTTGGGATAGTTCAAATAGTCTAAAAATAAGTGAGAACAAACCGAAAGTTTTGGGGTTAGTTTTGGGGCGAAAGATCTCGTCTTTCGCCCCAAAACTAAATATTATCACTTTACATGCGATAGCAAACTCCTCTCCTGTCGAACTATAGGAAGTTCCTTTAAAACATTGGGGGTGCTATTTCGAAGTAGTACATGTCGTGAATCAAATACGTCGACATAGATCGCAGACCGAGAACGTTGAACGACACCGGCAAGTTTCTAAACTCGCTTTTGTCGTTCACACGAGACGTGGTTAGATACTTGGTTGTACTCCATTTGATGTCGAATATGTGAAAACTTCCTGGGCCTATATGTTCACAAAGTTCTCTCGATATTATTTAAAGGGGAGGGAGAAAGAGGGGTATGTGTGTGTGTGTGTGGGGGGGGGGGGGGCGTCCTACTAAGTCTGAATTACCCGGCTTCGATATCAGGAGTGACTGTGGCAACGGCAATTGACGGTGGTACAATATGTGTGTGCGTGTTGGGCGAGTCGACAGCATTTTTTAGAGCGCAGCTCTTAGGCGCCCGTTCCCGGCTTGAGCGGCGTCGCCGTCGGCGTCGGCGTAACCGCGCGGTGCATTATTGGGAAATTTCCCCGCTAAATCTAGTGGAAAAATTTCCCCGCTAAATCTAGCGGAAAAACTTCCCCCCCTAGATCTAGCGGAAACTTTTCCCCGCTAAATCTAGCGGTAAAAATTTCCCCGCTAAATCTAGCGGAAAAATTTCCCCGCTAAATTTAGCTGAAAATTTTCCCCACTGAATCTAGCGGAAAAATTTCCCCGCTAAAATTAGCGGAAAAAAATTCCCCGCTAAATTTAGCGGAAAAACTTCCCCGCTTAATCTAGCGGAAAAACTTCCCCGCTAAATCTGGCGGAAAAATTTTCCCGCTAAATTTAGCGGAAAAATTTCCCCGCTAAATGTAGCGGAAACATTTCCCCGCTATATCTAGCTAAAAACTAAAAACAGCATGACTACCGAACGCGGGAAAGTCAGTTGGCAGTGCCTGCGTGACGGAATATTTGATTTTCGAGCGCGTCTGCCTTTTCCCTCGAGGTGTTCGGCGTAACCGCGCGGTGCATTATGGGCAAATTTCCCCGCTAAATCTAGCGGAAAAATTTCCCCGCTAAATCTAGCGGAAAAATTTCCCCGCTAAATCTAGCGAAAAATTTTCCCCGCTAAATCTAGCGGACAAATTTCCTCGCTAAATTTAGCGGAAAAAATTTCCCCGCTAAATTTATTGGAAAAGATTCCCCGCTAAATCTAGCGGAAAAACTTCCCCGCTAAATCTGGCGGAAAAATTTCCCCGCTAAATCTAGCGGAAAAATTTCCCCACTAAATGTAGCGCAAAAATTTCCCCGCTATATCTAGCTAAAAACTAAAAACAGCATGACTACCGAACGCGGGAAAGTCAGTTGGCAGTGCCTGCGTGACGGAATATTTGATTTTCGTGCGCGTCTGTCTTTTCCCTCGAGGCGTTTGACGGGGCCTCGATCGCGATGTTGGATCCCTTTGGCACGAATATTTGAACTATAATCACCGGCGGGGAGGAGCTGCAGTTACCCCCACCTCCAGCACTAGCTTCCAACCTTCGACAGAGCTTCGATCTCGCGAGCCTCGAGCTTGCACGTACAGCCAAATCGCAGCGAAGGGCAACGAAGAAGTGCTGGAGCTCGGCCGTTCACAAGAGACGCCCTGCCGTTCTTACTTCGTCAGCAGACTTCTAGCTAGGGGAGGGGCTTTTGGGGGTTGCGAGTACAGCGTTGTCCTGCCATGTGTGTTTCTTAATCGCCGTTCCCGTTTTTTTAGCTGTTTGTGCCATCATGTGCGACCCTATGATATACACATGCATCCCCCCCTCCCAAACAACACACACAAGGAATGCACATCCAAACCGCCTCAACCAGCCTCCCCCCCCCCCCCCCCCTATTTTAAATATAAAAAAAGCCTGATTAGGTATTCATTTGTTAGGGGCAATAATAGTTTTTATTATTTCGTGTCGATTTTCCGCTGATCACACCAGAGATCTTATATTATTAATTTATTTTTCAGTGTGGGCCGTTCAGTTTTGATTCCGCCAACGTCAGCGAGGATTTACGTGCACATCGTGAACACTTGGAAGGACGACGCTGAGGCTCATCCTGCAACAAGTTACTAGACGAGATGCCAGCTGAGGTGTTGAATAAAGACTAATTGCAGGGAACCTACCAACCCTTTAATTGCTTATGAAAGATTCTTAGTTAATTTAAACTAATTTTCACTCCTTCGCTCGAAGATATAAGTGACCTTTCCTCGTATTTTTATGCATTCTCTATATGTGCCCAGTTCTTAGCCAGTTAGAAGTATCGTTAGTTGATTGGCAACTTCTAGTCTCTTCTGTCTTCGAGTTACATGTTTTGGTTCAGTCTGTACCCCAAGATTCAGAATAGCTTGGCTAAAGACCGATAAGCTTAGGTGATGACTGTTTTCTTACGATCTGGGAGACATCTTTCGTGAGACTTGGAGTATCATGAACAGCTGATCTGTTGTGCAAGTTCTCTGAAATAGTCGGGGTTCTCGGCCCTACAATTTCTTTGACAGTCCTTGCTTTTCAAGATGTGTACATCATCTGCAAGTGTCCTGCCGGTCATACTTCGAGTCCGCGCCCATGTCACCATGTTAAAAGCATGGAAAGAACTTTCATACTGTCAAGTTTGCGTGTTTACGTACCCGTGGCTGTGATAAAACAAAAAAAAAAAATCTTTTTCACTGTCAACAGGACATTTCTGAAAGCGTTGCATTTTGCTGCTGTACCATATTTTCCAGACTATATATAGTCCGCAGGGGCAAATTTCGGGTAAGGCCAGGATTGGAAGACACTTGCTTTAGTTCCCCAAGGAACCCCCAGATGGCGCTTTGAGCGGTCTACAAGCGAAGAAGCGGGGAGCGGGGTCGGACGCGCTGAGACGATGAGCGCTAAGCACCCTTCGTCTTCCCCTTCCTTCTCCCCTCGAAGTGAGAGAGACTTTTAAGTGTGGGGCGGGCGGCGGTCAACTGGGTCGGCTGGTCGTGCGGTCCAGCCGTCGGGCGCAGGAGCACATCGCTTCAAAAAGAGATGTTCTAAGCAACCAGCCGCTTACTGCTTGTGGCAAAGATTTTTTTTTTTTTTTAGTGAGGCTGAGAAAGAATATTGGTTTTATTTTATACAGATCCGTCAGCTCTGACAGACTTATATTTTCCTCATTTAAAGGCAAATAATACGAACACAAAGCTTCAAACAAATTATAACAACATTGCCTTTGGAGTGTATCGGTAGATCTGAAGATCAAGATGGCGGTATGGTTGTTTCCAAATATATGTGTATATGCTTACGCATGTAACCTGGATTTGCAACTAAAACACAAGACCTTCTCACTCAGATTTTCACTTGAAATACCCGACTCCGAGAGCTTTGCAAACTAAGCAGATGTTTTGTATAGAGAACACTAGTAACGCCGGTGCTATTCTACTCTATAAAGAGGCCAATGAATAACACGCGTGTTAGAGGAATACTAAAGATTCTTTTGAACGTGGATTCATCGGATAACTTAGTAATCGCTTAACGCTGTTTTATTCAAGCTCAGGTTAGGAAATTTATAAACGTTACTATATCAAAGCGGATTTTTAGGCCTCCGCTATAAAATATCTTGCAAGATATCAAGGATTATAACTAGAAGAAGACGACGACGGTCCAAAAGAAGAGAGCTAAAAGGAAAGAAGAGGTACCGAGTCGACGGTTTTGAGGGGCTTGATTTCTGTTACCATCAATCGGCCGATATTAAAAACGGTCTCAACCGCAACGGCTCCTTGGCTTCCTCGCCGAAACATGGTGCCGTGACCAGGATTACCGCTTCGCCAACGAAGAAACGTGGACAGAACAAGTCGGCGAAGGAGCGGCTGACGAGGACCTGGACAGAACAGGAGGAACAGCCAAGGAACAGCAGGCGGGGACCGGACACCAGTGCTCAGCAGTCGTAAGCCCTTTGAACATTTGACAATGAGCAGGGACGTTCTAACCAAAAAGAGAAAGGCTCTAAGGACGCAAATAACTCACCTAATAACGGACGCCGACAAAATAATTGAAGAAGATGCTGACAAGAACGATCTCTTGCTATCGGCTAATCTGATTAAAGGAGTCGCAGAAACGCTCAAAGAGACGAACACTCAAATGGAACAATTTCTGACGGCCGAAAGTGCGGACGCAGAATATGAGAGGGTGATCGAATAGGATCTCAAGGTAATAACTGCAATCTCCAAGTTAGAAGTCAGTATTCAAAACACAACGCAGGGTATGCAGAGAGGAGAACATGGTGACCAAGTTCCCGCGTTAAGAGAAAACGCACCGCGTGAGATGAATGAACTGGTGAAGCTGCCAAAGCTCGAACTCGTGAAGTTCGATGGAAACAAATATGTGGCAGCGATTCTGGCATCAGTTCGAAACGTCAATTCATTCAATACCGGGGATGTCAAACGGACATAAGTTTAATTACCTTATGACGGTGCTTAGGGGAAAAGCCTCCTTGCCCATTGAAGGGCTGCAGTTTTCGAAAAGAAACTATGAACAGGCGATAAAACCATTAAAAGACAACTTTGGGAGTGAAGACAACTTGATCGAGGCACATATGAATGCTCTCATCAACCTGGATCAAGTGAAATCCTGCAGAGACCATAATGGTCTAGCTCGGATGTACCAGAAGATACAGGTGCACACAAGTGGGCTTGAATCAATGGGGATACTTATCGGGTCATATGCTGCAATGCTGTTTCCAATACTGAAGAAAGCAGTACCAACAGACATGCTGGTAGACTTCAAAGTGAAGGAACAATCAAGGTCACGTGATCCAGTAGCGTCCATGTCACAACAAGCGGACGAGACCTCAGGAAGAACAAATGAGGAAATGTTGAAGAGCCTAATTGACTACATCAAACATCAAGTGAGATGCAGGGAAGAGGTGACAGAAGAAGAAACGAGAAATAGTAACGCGACAGCGCCATCCCCACCTGCAAAATATTCTGCATGGGCGTCAACGTTCCAGAGCACAGCAGCGCGTAAATGCTTCTTCTCCGGTCAAATTGGTCACTACGCTGAAGACTGCACGAAAACGCAATCATATGAGGACAGGAAGTCAAAACTCCGAGTCGACAGAAGGTGTTTTCGCTGTACAAGGCCAAACCACACAGCTAGGTTCTGCCAAGCCAGGATAACCTGCAAGGCCTGCAAGCAAAGGCACGGAACATCAATGTGCCGCCGTAACGAGCAGGGTGAAGGAATCAAACAAAGCACATCCACTCAACGCATAACAGTAAACGCACCTGATCAAAGCGCACACGCAAGTAGTGCAACATTGTACCACGATCAAGAGGTGTCTACGGAGAGGGCAAGCAATTTCCATGCCTCACAACAGATCTGCAGTAGCAGCAGGTGCGTGTTACTACAAACAGCGGTCGCTTGGACAGAAGGAAGATTAGCATCAGATTATTGTCGAGTGATGCTGGATAGCGGAAGCCAGCGGTCGTTTATAACCGCAAGCTTGTCCAAGAAATTGGGATGCAAAGTTCTCAGAAAAGAAAGACTCATTATTGGATCATTTTGGGGAAAAGAGGTGAAGCGAATACTCAATGTAGTGGAGGTGAAGTTGAAAAAAGAGCCAATGACAGAAGAATTTTTGATAGAGGCCTTAGAGGTGGAAGTCATCTCAAGAGAGACGCTGCCAAGGCCAGACATCAATATTCAAAGGAACCTGAAAAGGATGAACATACCACTAGCAGACGACGCAGAAAAAGTAATCAATAACGAAGCTACGAGAATTCTGATTGGTTTGGATCATTACTGGGAGATGTGCACTGGACGAATTAAGAAGCTAGACAAAAGAATCACTGCCATGGAAACAGCGCTTGGATGGACCATTCAAGGACCGATGACAGTTCATTCAGAATTGACGACTTCTTCCACAATCATGGTCTTGAACGTAACTGCAACAGTCGAGGAGGTCAACAACGCCTTGAAACAATTTTGGGAACTGGAAGCAGCAGGCATCAAAGATAGTCCAATAGAAAACGGCCACGACGAAGACATACTCGCCAAGTTTGAAGATACAGTAACTTTCCAGGAAGGCAGGTACCACGTCCGACTGCCATGGAAGTCAACAGTTAGCTTAGATGACAACAGAGGACTGGCTTTAAAAAGGCTGAACCAACTGACCAGAAGGCTACAGAAGAATCCGGAACTACTTGAGAAGTATGACAGAGCGATACGGGAATATCTAAACACCGGCGTTGCAGAAAAGGTGAAAGATGAGGACACAAACGGGCGACTATGCTACTACATGCCACATCAGGCCGTAATGCGAGATGACAAGGCCACCACGAAAATCCGCATAGTATTCAATGCATCATCGAGCGGTTTGCCCGGATCTTCGTTAAACGACAATCTAAAAGTTGGCGTAAACTTAAACAAAGATATTGTGGCTTTACGGATGAACTTCCGACATCATCATATCGCAATGGTGGCGGACGTGGAAAAGGCGTTTTTACAGATTGGCATACACGAGGAAGACAGAGATTCGCTCCGCTTGTACTGGTGGAAAGAGAAGCCGAGCCTTTCGCAGCAGCACCCTAAAATGGAAGTATGGAGGATGAAGAGAGTGACGTTTGGCACTGCACCAAGCACCTTTCTCCTCGCAGCGACTCTTCGATATCACATGAAAACGGTGGAGGACGAGTTTCCGGAAACAGTTGCCGAATTAAAGAAGAATATTTATGTCGACGACGTGTTACTTGGAGCAGACACTGCAGAGGAGGCTACAAAAACGTACCGTGAAGCCCGATGTATCTTCACCAGAGCGAAAATGAACTTGCGAAAATGGTGTCGAATAATCAGGAAGTGCAAAATGAATTTGTGCATGACGATGAGGGCAACATGGAGGTGGCCAAAGCCGAAGAGAACGGAGTATTGGGCCTAATATGGAACAATACATCGGACGAGCTCAGTTTTCCAGTCGAAAAGTGGATGGTTAGGCTCAAGGGAGCAACTCTTACCAAGCGGCAAGTGCTGCAAATAACAGCAAGACTGTTTGATCCCTTGGGAATGCTCACACCATTTTCAGTGAGAGCTAAGAAAGAATTTCAAGAACTTTGGAAGAAAGGCATCACATGGGACGATCCACTGCCAGAGAAGGAAACCCTGGAATGGACGACATGGATAAATGAGCTGGAGGACCTAAAGCAAGTCAGCGTACACCGATGTTATGACGCTAATCAACGACAATCGGTGCAGAAAGCCGACCTACATTTCTTTTCAGATGCAAGCCCATTTGCGTACGGCGCAGCGGCGTAAATAGTTACCACCTACGTAGATGGAAACAAGGAAGCGCAACTGCTTCTAGCGAAAGGTCGAATTGCTCCGCTAAAAGCAATTTCACTAGCACGGTTAGAACTTTTAGCCGCTACCATGGCAGCAAGTCTGAATGAGTATGTCACTAAAAATTTAGTTCGGAGGATCAGCCAATCTTGCTTTTGGACAGATTCCACTATTGTGCTACACTGGATCAAAGAAAGTAAAAGAAGGGAATAGTTTGTCGAAAACAGGTTGAAGGAAATAATTCAGAGATCAGAACCAGAAGCGTGGAACTACGTACGAAGTGCAGAAAATCCTGCCGATCTCCTAACGAGAGGAGTAAAGGCTTGCCAATTTGTGACCTCACGTTTATGGTGGAAAGGACCAGAATGGCTAGTCGAGAGCCAAGCACGACCACCATATGAGTATAAAATAAGAGAAGAAGGAAGTGAACCAGTGAAGACAGAACTGTGCGTGGTAAACCTAACACTCACCAATATAATCGACTCTCGAAGGTTCAGCTCGTACGTAAGGCTCTTGAGAGTGACAGCTTGGGTGTTCAGGTACATAAAAAGGACAAGACGAAGCAATACTACAGGCCCTATAACAGCTGAAGAACTGGAGGAAGCTGAGCGCTATCTCATCAAACAAGAGCAAAATATATCACTCCTAAACCAGGAAGTCGCAACGAAGGTGAGAGGGGGAAAAGATGCAGAGCTGCTACATGGAGCGAAAGTCTTCAGGTGTAAAGATGGGGTGCTCAGGCTAGAAGGTCGTCTTCAGGAGAGCCAGCTCGGTTTTAAAGAACGACATCCAGCGATATTGCCGAAGAACAGTCACTTCACAGAGATTCTGGTGCGGCATGTGCACCATCTCACCTTGCACGGAGGAGTAAGAGACACGCTGGCGCGCCTGAGAACGAAATTCTGGGTGTTGCAAGGACGGCAGTTAATCAAAAAGATTTTAAGCAAATGCATTGAGTGCAAAAAATACAACACCAGACCGCTCGATCAAGAGATGGCTCGCTTACCAGCAGAGCTAAGAAAAGCGAGGCGTCACGGAGTGAATTAATTAATTAATTTTAGAAATAAATATTACGAACGTTCGAAGTACGCATATAGGCTAGGTTACCATGCTCTATGAATTGAAACGAGATTTAAAAAAGAAAAAGGGCTAACATTTTTATCTAAAAAAGTATAATTCTGGCTTACGTTCTCAGGGGCGAAGATGAGATTCTGCTGGGCCGGAGCTGCTGCAACTGCTGAAAATCGGCACGCCTCGATATACTGCTGACGGTCGACTGGATTTCAGCGACAAGAGTACGGAATATATAGGCAGAGGGCAGGTCGGAAATAGCGAAGACATACGGGTGGTGTGCAAAGTTTATTTTATTTTTGTAGAACAAAAATGGTCATACCGGAACTTTTTTTTTTTGCCTTGTGTAGCACTGCAAGATTGTTTTAACATAATTGCAATGTCACACTATTCGAATTAAGTTTTTTTTTTTTATAGAACACTAATCATATGGTCCAGTGTTGCGGAATGGGCACCCCTATTCCATTGCAATTCCATTCCGGGGAATTAGAGTTTTTGATAATTCAATTCCTTTCAATTCCTAGGAATGGAGACACTAGGCCCATTCCCACTCCTGGAATGGCTGAATCGTTCCATTCCATTCCTTTAATTCATAAACGTAAAAATCGGCACTTGACAGCTACATTGTGTTGCCGGCATAAGCGGCATAAAACTCACATTATCAAATGCAGAGACAATAGCAAAAAAAAAAAAAAAAAGGCTAAATCTTTTGAAAAAGCATTGATTTTATTAAGCAGACCGCTGGTGGCACAAAGTGTTTATTTACAATGTACTGCAAACATCGAGAAAGCTCCTTGATATGTCGATGCGTGTTTAAGACATCGGTCTCGCTATCACGTGGCTCGCAACAAACAGCATAACTTAAATCCACTCATTTTCTTTTCTTTTTTTAACCTTTTTGCACTTGACTTTTAGGACACACGCGGCCAGCGTGTTTGTTTGATAAGACGATAAAAATATGTAGCTCGTGCGTGGCGCAGGAATAAGCTATATTACTGTATTCTCAAAATGCAGCAACACGGCTAGTACACTGCTGGAAGCGACTCCCTGCACGGCGGCAAGAACACATTCTCTGACAGAATGCAACTTTTGTGGCGCAGCTCGAGGGACCGTATAGATCATGTCACGAAACCTGTTTTAAAACGCATAAGTTCACGCTTGCTTTACGAATCTCGATATTTCTTATCATATTCAATTCAATTTTTGGCTGGTTCGCCTACCCTTTTCCACCCTTCGCATACTCATTCTCGTGTTTCCTCTTCAGATGGCGAATAAAGTTTGATGATATACGCCGAGTGCACCGTGTATAGTTTCGTTGCACAAATTTTAGCATGCACCTTGTTTATTTTCTTCGCAACTAATGTCGAAAAATCTCTTCCACGATGCCATGACTCGATCTGTATTTATATTGTCTTCTCGTCCGAATTGTGATGTTCCTCTTCGCGCTGATCGAGCGGCGGTTTCAGGCAGCAGACGGTACCAACCAATTCATTCTTCCACCTCGGTGTCGGTTGTTCGCGTTGTGGCGACGGGTCGGGCAGTCAGCGTTGACAAAGCTCTTCTCATCAAGATACAATTAACGGGGTAAAACCACACCGTTCGAATTGACGTTCTCCGTGTTTTCTCAACACCACCATCCAACTGACTTCTCACCGCCTCAAACAGGGTGCAGGACAAGGAGCACGAATGCAGACCGGACAGCCAAGACGCGCGGAAGCCACAACCTCAGTGGCAGCTAGCACCCAGCTCTCCTTCTCAGTTGCCCTCGCAGCAACGATTACGCCTCGTCTGGAGCGGGACGGTCTTTCTGCAGGTCTAGTCAGTTCGGTTACACCAATAGCGGTGACGATAGTCTACTTCACCTTACGATGGACCTCAACAGAGCACGAGAGCCATCGAAACCAATCCAGTGCCTTCTGAGTGTCGCGTGACCCTGCAGTCCCGCTCACGGTGCTGGATTGCCTAGAGTGACTCGTAGCGTCCGCTGCAGTCCATCGCAAGGTAAAACGAAGTATGCAGAGACGAAAGTCAAAGGAAATGAACGGGAATCCGCTAACTTGCTTGTAACCCCAACCCAACCCACTAAACACATCATACAGAAAACAAGCGTCGGGACAAAGAAGAAAGTAAAAGGCAGACTTGCACTAGAAATTCAGTATAAAAAAACAAGGCTCGGAGCAAAGCGCAAGAGGAGAAGAGGGAAGTGAATCTCGCTTTGTTTGAATGCCGAAGCAAACCCACATTTCGCACTTCAAAGGAGTGCGCACGAATAAACGTGGAAGGCAGCAGGGTTGTCTGCCTGCTAAACAACGCTCCTCGAACTATAAGAAAACAATACCTGATCATCTTTCGGCGGCGCCCGAGTCAACGAGTTATCAGAGCTCTGCGAGTTATGAGTCGCTTCCGCTCCCAGATCTCAAGCCTGGTTCAGACTAGGGTGCCTTCATGTGCGCTTTGCTTAGGGTGGTGGCATCTCGCCATTTTGTCACTCACGTTTATATTTATTTTTTGTTGAGAAGCGCGTGAAAGAGCGTGTTCCTGCACGCGCTTGTGGCGCTGACTGTGCTATGGCGACATTTTGTTTTCGTCGATTTCTTTGTATTTTGCCCGTGAGCGCGTGCTGTCGGCATCCGGTACTACAAAGGGTGGCATCACCCTAAACAGAAGGACATTGAGGCACCCTAGTTCAGACAGTTGCGTTTGACTGCGTCTGACTGCGTTGCGGCAGCGAGAAACCAGGACATCCCTGCTGCTTATATCGCGTGCCAAGATGATTCCTTGAATTGGATTCCACGCTTCATACGAAACACAGATGTGCCGGTGACTCGCTTTCGGTACTCGACTCAACGCAGTCAAACGCACTCAAACGCAAATGTCTGAACCGGCCTTCAGTCTCTGCGCGCGCGTGCATTCTACAAACCGTCGCAACAACAACAAAAAAAGCATGACAAGAAGTACGATGAGGAGTTGTGGATGGCGGTTTCTTTGTTTGCCGCTCCCTTTTCTTTTGCTTGGCGCTTGGTTTCTTGTTTCGCTCTCGTGTAACGCCATCAAAGCCCGACGCCTGCGCGTCCGTGAAAGGCGCCACGTTACCCCCCTCTCGCCCTTCGCTCTTTGCTTTGACACTTGCTTTTTGTATTGCATTTTTTTTTCGTATAAGTCTGTCAGGGCTTTACGCGGGCTAGCAGTTTCCCGCTCTTTTTATTTCTGAGCAGGTGACTCGCTGACTGGCTCAGTTTAGCTAACCGTATAACACAAAAAAGAATTGGCCCATTCCATTCCCATTCTATTCCGGGCAAAAGGCACCTAATTCCATTCCCATTCCGCTCCCTCCACGTTGCCGCCATTCCATTCCCATTCCATTCCGGGGTTGTGAAAACGCGGAATGATTCCGGAATCATTCCAACTCCGGAGTGGCAACTCCGCAACACTGATATGGTCATACAAGGTGGCAATATCCGGAGCGTGCGATCCGCTCTGCAGTGTGACGCATTTGAGAGATGTCTTTGTGCGGAGTCGCCATTATCTTGGGATGAGACGACAGCACCCTGCTCACAGAAGTTGGCGTCGAAACACCGAAAAAAGGAGAAATAAAAAAAAAAAAAAAAACGACAAAAACAACCGCTTTAAAAAAAAAAAAAAAAAAAAAAAAAAAAAAAAAAAAACATTGTTACGATGAAGAAGAGACGTTCTCTTCTTCACTTGTCTCTGTCCCTTCTACTTTTAAGTTTCTGCTTCTACACCAGTCTCGGGTTAGGTATGGAAAAAAAAATATCCGTTTTGAAATTGGGATTGTGGCGGAAGCTATGGTCCTCGTTGGATCAGTGATATGCCTCTCATTGTTGGCGTCATCCCACTCCCGGCCATACCCACGCGCAGAGAGCCAAGTCAGGTGATAAGAGAGA